GTAGCCCAGGCTGGTCTCGAACTCACAACAATCTTCCTGCCTCTGCTTCCCAAGTGCTGCGATTGTTAGTGCGCACCACCACACCTGGTGAGCTTTATGTTACATGCTTTTATCACAATAAAAAAATGTAAAATGTGGGCATGGTGACACATGCCTGTAATCCCAGCACTTGGGAGGCTGAGACAGGTGAATTGTGAATGAAGGGCAGCCTGGACTACATAGAGATACCGTCTCAACAAACAAAAACTAAGCAGCATTATGCTTCTCATCTATACGAAAACAAAACCACCAGTTTTTTGGCACTTAATCTCTTTTACAGTGCTATAGCAGACTGGGGACTTTATAGAGAACAGAGGTATCTTACAGTCTGGAAGTGGACAGGTCTGTGATGGAGAATTAGCATTTTGTGGGGTCTTTGTGCTATGTCACCCCATGGTGCAAGGTGGAAGGAGAAGAGCACAGGCAGGAGTCTAACTCACTTTTTTTTTTGTAATTTTAGTACAGGGTCTACAGGGTCTCGCTATACAGATCAGACTTGTAGTGATCCTGTTTTCAGCCTCTCAAGCTCTGGGATTACAGGTACGTGCCCAATTTCGATTGCTGTCTCAGTGCATCCCGGGGGCAGAGCTGGCATGGCACACCAGGGATTGAACCCCAGTCCCTACATCTGCCTAGGCAGCTCTTTAATCCACTGAGCTATCTGGCCGGCCCTCCCTAACCCACTTCTATAACAAGCCAGGGCCAAGCTCTTGTGGCCTATTCACCTCTCAAGGTCCCGTCTCTTAGCGCTTACATTAGCTATTAAGTTCCAAGCACATGAACTTCTAGTGCCAGCTTCCATTTGTCCCCAACTCTTTATCAGTTCACCATTCCCCTGGCCTTAATGACAGTAGGGAAAGCAAGCTATGCTCCAAAGGCAATACTAAGAATGGTGCTAGGGGCGGCCTGGGCCCCTGGCCCCGGCCCCTCATGATGCTGACAGGTACCCCGTGGCACCAGCTCCCATGCACACCCTTCTTCCAACCCTAATTCAGGGTTATCAACAGCAGCAACCCCCTTTCCATAGCAACAACCTAATGGAATTTTTTTTTTCCTACAGCTTGAGAATACAGATATTTAGCATCACGACTTAGTATTAATAAAATCACTGTGATTATAGCTCCCCCTCCCCAAACTCTACGTATTTGTATGATGTCTAAAAGAACACAGAGGAAATGAAGAGTTTTGCCGGAAATGAGAATAAGGATAAACCGCCCATCCTCTTTTTGAATGTGATGGGTTTTTCCAATAACAGCTCTACTAAGACGTAATTCATGCAACCTAAAACTGTCTCTCTCTCTCTCTCTCTCTCTCTCTCTCTCTCTCTCTCTGGCAGTGCTGGAGATTGAACCCACGGCTTCATGCATGACAGGCAAGTGCCTCACCCTGAGCTCCAAAACTCACTCTTGTAAAGTCTAAAATTCAGTGGTTTCAGTATGCTGACCGGCTTCTGCAGCCACCACCACAATCTAATTCTGGAACGCTTTCATCATCCCCAGCGGAAACCCTGTGCTCATTAGCAGTCACCCTTTCTCTCACCCCTGCCCCCAGCAACCACCAGTTCGCTTTCTGCCCCTAGAGATTCGCCTCCTCTGGACAGTTCCTACAAATGGGATTGTATCACAC